TGAGATATAAGTTCTTAGGTCTCAGTATAGTTACAACGGCTGCCCCACCCTTCGAACCGAAACGCATTACTGCTTCACGGCAATGACAAAGGTGTTAAGAAATACTTACGTCGAAATGATCTTCACACATAAAAAATGATTTTGTTTTGGGATTATCACGGTGCACTGCTTAAAACCATTTATTTCGACTTTGGTCATCGTGGGAAACATTTAAAAACATTTTTTCAGGAGTTGTTTTTGTAGTATTCATGCATAATGGTACAAAAAAAGAACGATAGCTTTTGAGGTTCGACATTTCGATATAAATATTTGAATATTTAACAATGACATCAAAATGAAATAGATCAAAACACTGTACTTATTATCTCTATGGGAAAAATAACATTATGACGTCACACGCGCTCGGGTTTGATCGGGAGCTGTCGGCGTGTCTTCGGTGCTGGATTCAAAAATTATTTTTTATTTTGAAATAACTTCTTAGTTATTGTGAAAAAAAAGGTTGCGTGTACTTATGTACGCGTGTAAGAAGTTATACTTTATTTTTATTTTTTTATTTTTTTTGTAAATATTAATATTTAATAATAAATATTTAACGTTAATAATTTAATAATATTTAGTATGAATTATATTAAATAATAATTTTTTCATTTATATTACTAAAAAATGAATGCTAATAACACTTTTTTTTACGAGTGTACATACATGGGCGAAAGTTCACTTGCGGCTATATTCAGACTCGCCAAGTTACGTCGGTCATATTGTAATGAGCGGTTTAGTGGGCAACTTCATTTCTGATAATTTTGCGTCACGGTGCGCGCGCACCGTAAAATTTCACTCTCATCAATTTTTCATAACGCGCCTAAAGAGGAATAACTTCAAAAAATTAAAAAAAAATAGTTTTGCTATACAACTAATATAATATGATCTTTCCATTTATCACAAAAAAAAATTTTTTCCACACGGGTAGTTACCACCACCATGCCTATTTCTGCCGTGAAGCAGTAATACGTTTCGGTTTGAAAGGTGGGGCAGCCGTTGTAACTATACTGAGACCTTCGAACTTATATCTCAAGGTGTGTGGCGCATTTACGTTGTAGATATCTATGGGCTCCCGTAACCACTTAACACCAGATGGCCTGTGAGCTCGTCCACACCTCTAAGCAGAAAAAAAAAAAAAAAACAGTTTTTAAATAATGAACTTTCTAAATGTCCAACAGTTTTGTTAAATGCCGGGTTCAAGCGGTAATCAAATGAGCTCTTATCGTGTATCGAACCCAGAGACGTTTAATTAAGCATTGTCGTGCTCCGCGTTACACTCGCTAAAATATAACAATACAAGCTTGACTTCGATCCTAATTATAACCATCATAGCAATAAAAAAAAGGAAAACCTAGTTCCACTTATGAGTTGGATAATTTAGTAGCCATTAAAATAATTCAATTCGACCCAGGGCTTAAAGTTAAACGCAAACATTTAGGACCTTACAAGGTTATTAAAGTTAAAAGATATGATAGGTATGATGTTAACAAACTGTACGATACTACCGAAGGACCAAAGAGGACTTCCAGCTCTGCCGACAATATGAAGAAATGGCCAGATAAGGTTTAATGGTTGTTTGTGTGTGTGCTTGGATATAATAATTTAACAGTTGTATCTATAATAGTTCTCATGTGTCCTCACGAATTTTGGGCTATGTATTTAAGACTTATTTTGTTATTCACTACATAATGTGTAATTGTATAAAAAGTTAGACTGTCAGATTCAGAACTATTTTATTTTATGATATTGTATGGAGGAGCCATATAAGATTGTTAAGAGCGGAACTTATGACTAGAGTGTGGAACGGAGCGTTAAGATGTGAGTGAAAGAAAATGGAAAGAAAGAAAAGAGTATGACAGACAGAATGACAGAGAAAAGGAAGATGGCGAAGACGTTTAAAAAATAAGCAAGGCGTAATAAAAGTGTTAATTAATTTTTCAATTATTATTATAACAGAAAATTTTGGAACAGTGGAAGTTTTATTTTATGTGCTGCGATCCCTATTCTACATGTATAATGTACATTGTAGCATATATTAGACGCCCGGTGTATTTTTCATCCTGTAACTGAAGTGGGCAGCCAATATCACGGTCATGGAGTATAACGTTTGTGTTAACGCCTACGAATTTTTAAGGAGCAATGCATAAATTTTTATTTATGTTTATCTACACCATTTTCACACTTCCATTAATGGCCGTCCAAGCTAACTCATTCGCAACGTAAAAATAAGAAAAAATCTGTGTAAAGAGAATACAAGCTCCAGATCGATTTGGAAGTTTTATTCAAGAATCCCAAGCATCCAACATCAGGAGACAGTCAAAAGAACCCTGAAAATTCTTAGGAAAAGAATATTTTTTAATTCGGATGGCCAAGCCATAGTATCGGTCAGGAACTTATTCGCCGAAACCAGCTGCCGTCCTCAATTGTATCCACGGAATTTTAGAGCCCAGGCCAATGNAAAATCTGTGTAAAGAGAATACAAGCTCCAGATCGATTTGGAAGTTTTATTCAAGAATCCCAAGCATCCAACATCAGGAGACAGTCAAAAGAACCCTGAAAATTCTTAGGAAAAGAATATTTTTTAATTCGGATGGCCAAGCCATAGTATCGGTCAGGAACTTATTCGCCGAAACCAGCTGCCGTCCTCAATTGTATCCACGGAATTTTAGAGCCCAGGCCAATGCAGCTAAGTTCCCTTCCCATACTTTACCGTCTACCTACCGTATATAATCATACCAACCTAAATTCCATTAACATTTTTCCTATTTACCCAAATCGATTAGTCTGTACTTGTGCTAATTGTCTTTATACGGTGTTTTTTATCCTTTCCATATAATTTCAATTCATCCTAGTTTTTTTCCATAGTGAGTTTTACCCCATCATAAAAATATCCAAACCAAAAAGTGTCTATCTCAATTTTCGTTATTGTTTTCTGCATTAAGTAATTATATTTATATTGCTAACAAAGGAAAACAAGCGGACGGCCACTCAACAATAAGCGGGTACTGTCGCTAATTACAAATTCTGCTAGATAGTTCTTTAAATAGCTCAATACCCACTGTGCCTAATTTTTTTTTTTAATTCCTTCGTGCATTCTTGTTTTTGCAATCAATTCACGCAATTTAGCCGAACATTCCAGGCCAACGATAAATAAGTTCAGCCCCACTGTGTCCCAGGCTTCCGTGTGAGAGTGCCGCTGGGCCTGACTCCAATGCAGGTGACGCCTAGTCGAGGAGCGTGAGATAACTTTATTATTTTTATATCATTAATTAACTAAACAAATTTTATTCTATTTTTGCATAGTTTCATTATCTGTATTATAAGTACTAGACTTTGCTTGTCTTATTGCTTCTTTTAACCAGTTACATAATTTTATTAGATTAATTTACAAACTTTTTACTTAATATCTTAGAAACTTATAATTTTTATTTATCATGGAAGGTGAAACTAGTTCAAAAGACTCTCAAGATTTGCTGGATCTTTTTGTTAAACGTAGCTCCATAAAGGGGCAAATAACTAAATTGCGGAACTATTTAACTCAAACAAGCATAAAAGAAACACTAACTTCTCTTGAACTTGCTGAATTGACACTTAAGCTTAGCAAATTCTCAAATTTGACTCACTGTCAAATCGATTTGACGACTTGCAGACTCAGATAGAGGTTTTGAATCATAGTGATTTGACAAACGAGGTTGATTTCAAACATCGCTTCCGCTCAAAGCATTAAGAAACAACATAATGCAAGTAAACATGACGAAAGTAATTACAAAGATCTTAACTTTAGTCAGTTATCATCAGCTCAGTGTAATGTCTGTCATTATGATGTTTTAGGATTTAAATTGTCCCAAATACAGATTGCTATGTTTGACGGATCATATTTCCGTTGGCTTGAGTTACGTGACACGTTTTTGAGTTTAATTCATAACATCATTGTTTGCGAATTGCTCCAATTCATAAGTTTCATTATTTAATTTCATACTTAACGGGTGATGCAGCACGCATTATTACTAACTTCGAAGTTTCTAGTTACAACTATAAAAATGCTTGGCATTTATTATGCAGTCGTTATGATAATAAGCGTCAATTGATAAATTATCATTTAAATTCATTATTAAATATTCAACAGACAACTCGTGAGTCTGATAGATCTTTAAGATTTATGGTAGATCACATCACTAAGAATTTAAGGGCATTGTCTGGCCTAGGTCAACCTACCTACAAATGGGATATCCTCATAATTCACATAATGACCCAAAGCTGGACAGCCACACTCTTTTGAAATGGGAGGAGTGTCGTAGCGCCGTGGATGATGTGCCGAATTTGGAACAATTTTATAAATTATTAATCAATCGTCGTTGAGTCTATAAATCGTAATTCGTATAAATCAATGCATTCTACGTTTACTACTTCTAATATTAATAATAAGCGAGATAAGCCATATACAAAATCTTTAGCTTACACTAGCAATGAAACCACTGCTTCTGCAAATCTTATATCGTGTGTAGTGTGTCAACAAGGTCATCGAATCTACAACCGCCCTACCTTCATTAGTAAGAACGTAGAGGAGCGTATAGCTGAACTACACAAATTAAAACTATGCACTAATTGTTTGAGGCCAGGTCACAAGGTACGAACTTGTCGTTTCGATCCGTGCCTTAAGTGCAAAGGAAGACACAATACTCTCATACATAAACCAGAAAATACTGTACATAACAATATATTCACTTCCGGTGCCTTGTCAATGCCAGGCAGCACTGACGATACTATTGTATTTTATTTCTAAACAAAATAGAAATCAAGTTTTGTTATCTACCGCCTTAATCCAGGTGGCTAATCCACGGACAAACCAGACAGAAAGGGTTCGCGCCCTATTAGATTGTGGAAGCCAGTCGTCATTCATAACGGAAACACTTAAACAGAAGCTGTGTTTACCGTCAAACTCAAACTGCCTTGTCAATATTATGGGCATAGGCAATCATCATACCGGTAAGGTCATAGAGACCTGTGTGGCGCAACTAAAGTCATTAGTCAACCAGTACAACGTCACATCAGGCTTTTTAGTATTACCACAAATAACAAGTCACATACCTAAATTACCTATAGATACTACACAAATACAAATACCTAAAGGCATCCAATTAGCAGATCCAAATTTTCACCAACCTGCGCCGACTGAAATACTCATCGGTGCCGATCTTTTCTGGTTGATTCTTGGCCGCAAGACTCACTCTCTCGGTCCTACTAATCCAAAGTTAAGAAGCTCTCAGTTTGGTTGGATTATTTCGGGTTCTATGACTACAATAAATACATCACACAAAAACATAACAGTACAATGTAACCATTCCATAATATCGAAAAGACTTAATGATGACTATATTAAAATTCACAATGACCTTACTAAACTCCGGGAACTTGAAGAAGTTCCACTAAGATCCAAATTGAGTGAAAGCGAGAAGGCATGTAAATCTCATTTTCTATCCCACATTTTCCGCCCAGAGTCCGGTAGATTCTTAGAGAGTTAACCTCTAAAGGAATCACCCGACTGTCTTAGAGAGTCATACAATTTAGCCCGATTACGATTATTTAATTTAGAAAGACGATTCCGAAAGTAACCAGAAGTCAAATCACAATACATACAATTTATGCGCGAATAATCTGAACTAGGTCATCTGTCCGAGTCTCCTATTATAAACCCAAGCAGTGCTTGGCTCCATAGTAGTTTTCCAACATTTGAAACTTTTGTAGCAAAGCTAATTTCTGAGATTTGTGACCTAGCTAATTCTGCCTCTTGGCGCCATGTGCCTACATCAGCTAACCCGGCTGGCATTATATCTAGAGAGTCCCAATCAGCTGAATACTGCGACGCTGTGGTGGTTAGGCCCGTCGTACTTCTCTGAATCTGACAGTACCTGGCCCATACTAAAAACTAAAATAAACGTTACAAATTTACCAGAAACTCAAACTAATTTAACTATAACTAACTTAACAACTAGTATTGATCCTATTATAATTTTCAAAAACTATTCTAACTTAACTATACTAAAACGTATAATGGCTTACCTACTGCGTTTTATAAATAACTTAAAAAAATCTAACTTAAAAACTACTGGTGGTAGGACCTCTTGTGAGTCCGCACGGGTGAGTACCACCGCCCCGCCTATTTCTGCCGTGAAGCAATAATGCGTTTCGGTTTGAAGGGTGAGGCAGCCGTTGTAACTATACTGAGACCTTAGAACTTCTATCTCAAGGTGTGTGGCGCATTTACGTTGTAGATGTCTATAGGTTCCAGTAACCACTTAACACCAGGTGGGCTGTGAGCTCGTCCACACATGTAGGCAATAAAAAAAGAAATCCACAACTAGACCTACCGGTTCTTTATCAGTTGACGAACTAAATAATTCCTTTCTTCAATGATGCCGCTTGTTGCAAAGGGAAGCATTTTCGTTTGAGTATGAGTTACTAGCCAACAATAAATATCTAAGTCCAAAATCACATTTTTTCTCCATTCTTTCATGATGAGTTGATTATACGAGTAAGTGGTCGATTGAATGCATCTGATTTTAATTTTGATAAGAAACATCCAGTGCTTTTAGATGCCTCACATCTTTTTACGAAACTTTTATTTGAACACGAACACAAGCGCAACCTTCATTCTGGACCACAGTAGTTGCTAGCTATAATTCATGAATTCGTTTGGCCCACTAACGGAAGACAGCTAGCTCGACGTACGGTTTCGTAATTATATTAAATGTAGACGATTACAAGGACGAACTATGCAGCCCATTATGGGAGACTTGCCATCGAAACGCGTTACGCCAAGTTTCCCATTCAAAAGTGTGGGTTTAGACTTTGCCGGACCGTTCTTTATTGTTATTGCCATTATTATTAAATTTACCTTTGCCTTTTCATTTGCTTACGTTACAAATGTTTACACCTTGAAGCCGTTAGCGACTTATCAAAAGACGCTTTCCTCATGACATTTCGCAGATTCGGGTCACGCTGGAGTAGACTAACTGAGGTGTTCTGTGATAAAAAACGCAATTTAGTAGCAGGTTCTAAAGAAATTAATAAGTTTTTCAAAATAAATTCCAAATCTTTATGTGATTCTGCATATAAGGATGGAATAACCACTTTGGCGGAATCTTTGAGGCCGGAATAAAATCCGCAAAATTTCATATTAAGCGCGTTATGGGTAATTCACACTTAACATTCGAAGTAATATCTACTTTTTCGCACAAGTAGAGGCTATATTGAATGGCCGTCCATTGTGTCCCATGTCACCCTTACCTCCTTTGCCTTACTCCCGGGAGCTTTCTCATTGGCCGGTCTCTCACTGCTTTCCTTCGCCTGTCCTGGAAGACTGCAACTACAATAATCTACAACGCTACGCTCGATTACAGCAAATATATCAACATTTTTGGCAACGCTGGCAGCGGGAATATATTGCTGAGCTTCAACAACGCCACAAGTGGAAGACCAATTCTTCAAACCCAAATGTAGGAGATTTAGTACTGCTGCAAGAAGATGATGTTCGTCCTCTCTGCTGGAGACTTGGACGCATATCCAGACTATTTTATGGTCCAAAGGGTGGAGTACCTCGAGTCGTTGACGTCAATACTTCTAGAGGCTGCGTGCGCTGCCCGTTGGTTCGTCTGTGTGCCTTGTCTACCGCAGAAGAACTAGAGGGTTGAAACCCGAAGAATCGACTTTCAACGGGGGGAGGATGTTAACGCCTACGAATTTTTAAGGAGCCTTGCACAAATTTTTATTTATGTTTACCTAAACCATTTTCACACTTCAATTAATGGCCGTACCAAGCTAACTCATTCGCAACGTAAAAATAAAAAAAAATGTATAAAGAAAATACAAGCTCCAGATCGATTTAGAAGTTTTATTCAAGAAACCCAAGCACCCAAAGTGCTTGAAACAATTGACAAATAATATGATCGAGCATACATTTTTATTGCTATATTGATGTGATTTGAATGTTGCTTTTACATCTTTCTAACAACTACGACGTAATGAATATTATGACGAAAGACTCTATTCGGTAGAGTGGTCATCAAACATTAATGAGTTGAAATCAACATTAGGTCGCGTACATGTTACATGGAGAACATCAGGTTGAATTCTCATTTGAATTGGAATACCAACTTATATTACTCTAGAAACTAGAACGCAGCAACGAATTCCAGCATAAATAATAGACGGAGAAATTTATTTGCACTCACAACAATAATGAGTTTTGGAATCAGGAGAAACAGATCATAAAACGGATAATTTCAGTGTGGATAGTTAATGTAAAAGTAATAGTACTTAATCGAAAAGTATGGAATGCATAACTTACCGCACGTTTTTTTCATCACTGGAGAAAGATTTATTGAAATATTTAATATTAACAGATTGTGTACCCAACCACTAGATAACTAATAAAATGAATTTAAGTTGCAATCTTATAAATTCGCACAACTAATTTATAATTTTTTTGCAATTAGCTGATGCAACATCTTCCCGCATGATGCGTCTCAGCTGTAACAGTTGACTAATTTATTGAAATAGAATTAAAGTACTTATCTCTTTTGATGTGTCTTCAAACAGTTCTTTCCGGCCTTGTTCAGTCGCTCGTAATCAGCCAGCGGTGACCGATGTCACTATGCTCACCGCCGCGATATTCGTTATCATTGTCGCTCTTGTTTATTTGTATTCAACTAGAACTTTCAGGTACTGGGAAAAAAGAGGTATCAAACATGATAAGCCTATGCCCTTCTTCGGCACCGATTCAGAGGGATATCTACTCAGAAAAAGCATAACCCAAACTGCTGTGGATGCATATCTCAAATACCCCAATGAAAAAGTCGTCGGTTTCTTCAGATCCTCAAGGCCTGAGCTAATCATTAGAGACCCGGATATTATAAAACAAATTCTAACAACAGACTTCGCGTATTTCTATCCAAGAGGACTGAAGCCACATAAAAAGGTAATTCAGCCGTTGATGCGTAACCTGTTTTTCGCTGATGGGGATCTGTGGCGTCTACTACGTCAACGTATGACACCTGCATTTACGAGCGGGAAATTGCGTGCCATGTTTCCTCTGGTCGTGGAAAGAGCTGAAAGACTTCAAGCTCGGACCCTTAAGATTGCTTCACAACCTCTAGATGCTAGAGAACTAATGGCACGTTACACGACAGATTTCATAGGCGCTTGCGGCTTTGGCCTCGATGCAGACTCACTCAACGATGAAGATTCAGCATTCAGAAAGCTTGGAGCGGCCATTTTCAACATAACTGTTCAGCGAGCAATCGTGGCTGTCCTCAAACAGATATTCCCTAGGCTATTCAAGCATTTTAAGTACTCGTCGAAGTATGAAACAGATTTTGTGAGTTTGGTCAGTTCCATATTAAAACAAAGAAATTACAAACCATCTGGTCGAAACGATTTTATTGATTTACTCTTAGAGTGTCAAATGAAAGGAGAAATCGTAGTAGAATCTATTGAGAAAATGAAACCAGATGGCACTCCTGAGATCATTAGAATGGTGTTAACAGAACAATTGCTAGCAGCTCAAGTATTCGTCTTCTTTGCAGCTGGCTTTGAAACATCGTCGTCTGCCACTAGCTTCACGCTCCATCAACTTGCGTTCCATCCTGAGATCCAAGAGAAAGTGCAAAAAGAACTAGACCAGGTTCTCGCCAAATATAACAACAAGCTGTGCTACGATGCAATTAAAGAGATGAGATACTTGGAGAGTGCGTTTAAAGAAGCCATGAGAATGTTTCCGTCGCTCGGTTACTTGATTAGGGAGTGCGCTCGTCAATACACATTCCCGGAGTTAAACTTGACTATAGACGAAGGCGTAGGTATAATCATACCTCTCCAGGCCTTGCACAATGACCCAGAATATTTTGATAGTCCGAATGAATTCCGACCAGAAAGATTCATGCCCTCTGAATATAATCATAACAAAACGAAATTTGTCTACTTACCTTTTGGAGATGGACCTCGTCGTTGCATCGGTAAGATTGGTTTTCTTTTAAAACAACAGAATATTTTTTTTATAAATATTATTACACAACGCCCTGAGATATAATTGAGAAAAAACAAGACCCACCTTAATTACATTTTTATCAAAACGAACTTTAGTTGTCTGCATGGAACTGGTTTACCGCATCTAAACAAATCTAATTAATGTCTGTGGGTTTCTTTATTTATTGTCTATGCACTCGCGAGCCTTTTTTAATTTTATTGGATTAAGTTGGCACATCGTCTCTTGTGGCCAGCTTTACATAAATATGTATAAAAGTAAGACACTAGAAAATAATAATAATAGAAAATCAAGTGTTTGAGCACATTCAGAACGGACGTAATCATTGATACCTCAAAAACTCAAGGGCACAGTTAAGACTCTTCTAACTTATGCCTTTAATTTCGTGAATAAGATGCAAATGATATCGATTAAATTGAACCTTCTCCATCTGTACAAGTTACTTAACTACATTTATTTATGTATCGTTTGCAGGTGCTCGCCTCGGCTTAATGCAGTCCTTGGCAGGCTTGGCAGCTGTCTTGTCCAAGTTCACGGTGAAGCCAGCTCCAAGCACCAAGCGTCATCCAGTCGTTGAACCCAAGTCCAGCGTCGTGCAGAGCATCAAAGATGGTCTGCCTCTTCTCTTCATTGAAAGGACAAAGTCCTGATAATTATTCGTTAACTTAAAAGCGTTTACTACGTGACACGTTAAAATATACGCTTTGAATTTTATCCGGATTCTATATTATTTTAATTTTTTTTTATTGCCTTTGTAGGCAGACGATTATACGGCCCACCTGATGGTGAGTGGTTACCGTCGCCCATGGACTTCAGCAATGCCAAGGGCAGAGCCAAGCCGCTGTCTACCGAAATTCTCTCATTCCCGAACATGGTTCTGGATCGAGCGCGATTTTGAATATTTTGTACCAGTAAGATAAATTAGTAACCAGGTAACGAGTGGATTATTATCTCCCCGAAAACTGAGATTGTACGTGGCTGCAATTTAAAACGGAATTGAACACACTCATTGCTTTACGGTCAGTATTTTGCCGTATTTGAGGTCCCGTCAGTGCAGCAGCTAGTTGTCCTTGTTTTACGCCCGTCACCCCCGGTGCGGTACCGATTCCGCTTAATAGCTTTTGTTGCTTTCAATGCAGAAAAGAGACAGTTATGTTCTTAGAATTGCTGTTTTAAAAAGAATCATTTTCTTAAATAAAAATGTGCGGCGAAACAGTTGCCGTACGCAATGGAGGCAAATTTATTCATCCAGTGCGGGAAGGGAACTATTTCGCTGTACCCCTCCAACCCCGCAACTCGCCTCATGCGCCCGCACAGGCCATCGGTTAGTGCTATGTGTAAGTTACACGTCATTAATCGATTTTTGCGTTAATTCATTCTCTTCACAATGAAACGTTCAGGAAAAAACTTAATATGGGTAAAGTGATTAAGACTCAATGGAGAAAAGCAAGAAACAAAGCTATTAGTGGTAGTGACTCGGGTGTGATTAATAGTACGACTAAGAGTTCCATTTTTACGATTCATATAATAAAGACAAGAGACAGGTGATTTAAAATGTACTGATAAACGGAAAGTCTAGTAGAAGCTTAATAAGACAAAGCGAATAATGTTATTTGAAGTCAGTTTACACACAAAAAACTCGATCAGTCCATAAGGAAGCAATCTTCGTAAGTCCTTCAACAAAAATGGAATTTCTTGTTCTGAGTGAGGAGTTGACCGGTAATTTTTTTTACGGATTCTGGTGTTCTGTCTTTGGACGATATTTCTATGAGTAACTTGATAACTCCGATTGCATCACTTTTGAATTCTGAACTTCTGAAAGATGTTTTATCATCACCCGAAAATAGGAATTCAACCAATCAATTTAGTACACCAACGAGTTCTTTCTTTCGAAACACTGACGGAAATATTCGAAATCATTGAACACAGACATGATCTACTATGCAAACTAGTGGATATGAAGATTATTCATTATTGCCGGTAAATTAAAAATTTGAAATCAGCCTGAGTATTGAAGAGTGAGCACCTAAAGAGTCTATAAATGAAAATAGTGATTATGACGACACGTTGACTAACGACACATCTGATTCTCATACATTTGATGAAATGCATGATACTGATTCTGGATGTAGTAATACTCATATAATAGATGAAAATAAAAAGCTCGAAGATCAATGGACTAACGTTGTAAGTATCGATGATATAAGTCTTGAGGAGTATCCTATTGAAAGTCAAACAAATATTCCACCAAACGCTCTGCTATAAGGTCCTCTTGATTATTATAAATTATTTGCTATTAAAGAAGTAATTAGCGTGCCGATGAGTAGAGTAATGCACATCTTGTTAACATATTAAGCCAAAATCTAGCTTTAAACGCTGGGAGCCTACCACTTTCCTTGAAATTGAGATATTTATGGATGTGCTGATAGTTATGGGTATCAGTAAAGAACCAAATATATTTTTTTACTGCTCTAAAAAGACAGCTTGTCGAAATGAATATACCTATTACAAACATAACGCCAAGAGGACGTTCTTGTTTTCTTGTTATTATTATAATTTTGGCACTTCTGTGAAAATGCTGAAAATGGAGACAAATTGTCTAAAATTCGAAATATGCTCGATATTATTTTAAGATATTATTTTCCCATCCCTAGCATTTTTTCACTTCTATGCTACACGGCGAACATATAGCCGTAAATCAATAGTTTCTAAAAATCTCTACATCTTTCAAAATATCTTCCAGAACGGCAGGCTACACTAGCTTGTTATACACAAGGATATATTCTACTAATATTTGAGAAAAAAAAATGAATACGAAGAATTTCCACGTCTGCAGGAACCCTAGAAGTTAGGTCTTGCTTATTCTGTTACGGCAAAATACAAGCCGTGACGCATATCAAGCAACAAGGGAACGGGCAGTATTTGTTGACGGCTACTACTTGCACTAGCAAGTAGTAAGTTTAGTTTTTAGGCGGCCGCAGTGAATGTGTTAACAAGGAATTCGTATCGAGTGTTGTGAGCGGTGTTAAAGTGTCTTAAATGCTTAATTATATATAGCCCAACAAGCACTCAGACAAGTAGTTAATTAAGGTATTGTAAGTATGGATCTTTAATTAGTACAGGTCAATAAAACCCACGTTTGTTGGATTTACATTATATACTCATATAGCTACTTTGTCGTCAGGTACATCATTGTTGTAAATTGGGAATTAATTTGATTAAATTCAGTGAAAATAATAAGTTTTAGTACCTACCTATCTTTTATATTATTTGTGTCGGCAGGTAGTAGGTATAAACCACACTTTTTCGGGCTAATAGCATAAACTAAGTGTAATTAGAACCGTTGAGGGAAGAATAATTGGAATTTGAATATTGTAATTGTTTTAAGATCATTGAGGTAAAACCATAAAATTTATTATTTTGAATTTATATACGAAATACTTTCACATAAGAACATTGTTAATTAACTTAGTTAATAATATTTGCTATCGTAAAAATTCCAGGTTGCATTTTTTTTTTTATGATTGAAGGATTACTGGTGGCCCGGAGTCCTTTCCAGTTTCACCAGGACAGGTGGACGAGCAAAGGCTCAGCCAGGAGGGGTGGGATTTGCTAACAGCTACCCGAGCGCCTCTGAAGGAGACCTAACAGCTCAAGAGTAGCTGCTTCGCGAATGAATCTACTACCGGACCGGAATCGCAACCCGCTGAGAAGATCCGGCGAAAAACTCAGCGAGCTGATTCATGGGTTAGGTTGCACGGCGAACTCTTTGTCGAGTTCGACGAGTACAGTTATCGGGGTCCCTAAGCCTGCTCCTAGTGTTAGAGCTGAAGACGTCTAATGCAAAGGTTATTGGTTGACAGGTTGAGATCACCCGATCTCCCAAGCTCCCAATATGAGCCAGGAAAAAGATAGTTAAAGGGCGAGGTAGCTTTAAGGGGCGTTTGACTTTGTTTATTAGTTACCTGCAGTCATTGTCTAAACCTTTATCTGATTCTGACAATAGGGAATTGCAATTGCGGATAGGTAAGATGGAATCACTTTATGAACAGTTTGCTTAGCCGAAAATACAAAACTACAACTTAATGAACGCGCTGAGTTTGAGACTTCTTATTATAAAGCGTTGTCTGGCGCTCAGGGCATATTAAGTGAGTTTAAGGCAGGGATAGGCGTAACTAGTTACTTTTGTAATCTAATTAGTAATTAAACCACAAAATAATTTAATTACCATGTAATCTGATTATATAGTAATCAATTACATTGTAATTAGAATTACTTTGGATGTGAAAGTAATTGAATACAATGTATTTAATTGCAATATAACTAAATTACATAACCTAATTACATAGTAAAAATTATAAAAGAAAGTATATAAAATGTGTTTCATTTTTGTGTTTGTCAAAAAAGTTATTAGTAGGACATTTTTGGTAAGCTTACCTAACATAACATAACAGAATAGTTATGTGATCAATTATCCGTAATTATAAGTAATTTGTTTCAAATACATAAGTAGTCTGTTACAGTTAATGTAATTAGATTAACTTATAATCGAATTACTTTATAACTGATTACAATAAGTACTCGCTGTAATCAGTTACTTCAGTAACCTGTTACAAAGTATCTCAATTACCAATTACAATGTAACTGTAATTTGTAATTATTAATCTGATTACTTTTTGCCCATCACTGGTTTAAGGAAACACAAGTGATTGAAAGTAAGCCTCACTCAAGCGCTCAGAAGCCGGTAAAATTACCTACTATACAAATATCTAAATTTAGCGGATCTTATAACGATTGGTTAGAGTTTCGTGACACCTTTAATAGCCTCATTCACTCAAATGACGAAACAGATGAGATTAATAAGTTTCATTACTTACGAGCTTCATTAGAGGGATCCGCCGCTGAAGTTATCCAATCTATCAAGACCTCAGCTAAAAGCTATGCTATATAGCATGGAAGATATAATGCGATAGCTTTGATAAAAAAGGTTATTGATTCATAATCACGTGCAGGCGTTATTTCAATTCAAGAACTTTAGAATCTCTAGGATAACCTAAGGGAAGTATTGGAATACGCTATTAATATACATCATAACACAAAAGGTAGACAAAAACACCTACTGTGCGTGGGAAGAACAAAAGCGTAATCTGGATCAAAACAGCCCAATATCCTTTAAGTTTGATGTATTATGTTCATTGACTTTTTACACAGTCAACCTGATTTTATTGAGAGCTTATGCATAGAACGCAATTGTGATATGTGGTCTTTGCCAAGTTCCGACAGCCTATAGGCCAATATGTCTCCCTTATGGATGCTAATAAAAACCGTGGACCTGCGTGCATCAGCTTTTTATGCTCAAAAGTAAATATTAGTTTTGTGAAAATATGAATGGACTGTAATATTATCGGGTGTTTTTTATCATAACAAAATTCCAAATTATCGAGACGTCCTCCAACGCGCATTACATTGTCGTTATCTAAATAAGCATGAAATGTTTATAGAGGCCTCTCTTTAGATAATTTTTCACCTTGAAGTAATCTATACTTCTAAACTAAAAAATATATAAATCTGCAGTGTTTTTTTCGGATGTTCCGTTATAACTACTGAACCATGCATCCGATTGACTTGAAACTTGGTATCCATGTAGAAAATACAGTCATGTACTTAATGGATATGCTAATATTTATATGAGTGCTGGACTCCCCAATAATAATGAGAATAAATTATAATGTTAACTTTAAATGCCCAAAACCTGTAATTTTTACAATAGCAGATATTATTAACTAAGTTAATTAACAATGTTCTTATGTGAAAGTATTTGGTATATAAATTCAGAACAATAAATTTTATGGTTTTATCTCAATGAACTTAAAACAATTACAATATTCAAATTCCAATTATTTTTCCCTCAACTGTTCTAATTACACTTAGTTTATGCTATTAGCCCGAAAAAGTGAGGTTTATACCTACTACCTGCCGACACAAATAATATAAAAGATAGGTAGGTACTAAAACTTATTATTTTCACTGAATTTCATCAAATTAATTCCCAATTTACAACAATGATGTACCTGACGACAAAGTAGCTATATGAGTATATAATGTAAATCCTACAAATGTGGGTTTTACTGACCTGTACTAATTAAAGATCCACACTTACAATACCTCAATTAACTACTTGTCTGAGTGCTTGTTGGGCTATATATAATTAAGCATTTAATACACTTTTACATCGCTCACAACACTCGATACGAATTCCTTGTTAACACATTCACTGCGGCCGCCTAAAAACTAAACTTTCATATTCATTTCATTCATTTCAATACACTTTCACTACGATCAGAAGAAAAATTGACAGAACTTTTGTTCGCATTAGATAATATAAACTGGTCTATCGTTAGTTTAAGTGAAGTGAGACGTATAGGAGAAAACATAGAAGACTTCGGTGAATTTACTTTTTACCACAACGTTTACACACCGGGCCAATACGGTGTAGGTTTCTTAGTGAAAAAAGAATTAAAAGAGTGTATAGATGAATTCATAGGCATATCAGAGTGAATCATTCTATTAAATTAAAGTTACCACCATTAGACGAGATGTGGCCCATAGTGCAAATCTACTCCCCGACAGAGCAAGCGACCAGCACATAAATCGACTCTTTCTATTTGCAGCTAACAGAAACAATAAAAACTTATTCATGCAGCAACCTCATCGTGATGGGAGACCAAGGAATAGGTGGACGTGGATATCTCCAAAAGGTCGTTACAAAAATTAGATAGATTACATTCTCTCGAATCGAAGTACAGCTTTTCAAGATTGTCGAGTTATAAATAATTTAAACTTTAATAGTAACCATAGACCTGTCAGAGCCAAGCTAAAACTAAACACTTCTAAGAAAAGTCCTTTTAAAGCAAATCTAACAAACAAAACCACAAGCCAGAATATCAATGGACTTAAAGAAAAGCTAATAAACTTCATAGAAAACACAAAAGACCTACACATACAAGACACATACAACAAACTGCAAGAAATTATAAATGAAAAGGCCCCAGGAAAAGCTTCGGATACTAGAAAGAATAAAATATCATGGTTATCAGATAAAACAAAGCAGCTACTAGAAGATCGAGCTAACCTTTTCTCAACATCTAATAAAACAAAAGATATAAGAAAGAAAATAACAGTAATTAGCAAACAAATAAACATCAATATGAGGAAAGAAAGACAAAAATTTAGGTTAGAAAAACTAGAGAAATGTATTCAGAAAACAGGCGGAGTAAGGAAAGCATTAAAAGAACTATCAGGAAAACGAGACTGGATACCCAATATGAAAGACAGAAACGATAGAAACACGACCAGAAGACCAGAAATAATTACAAGAGCAACCGATTTCTTTAAAAAATTATACTCAAGCCAAATCACAACACCAAAAATAGATTTATCTGGACAGGAATGTATACAACAGTAGCACAGTTAAATAAAAACAGAAAGAGAAGGTGAAGAAACAAAAATTCAAAGAGGAGTCCGCCAAGGAGATCCTTTGTCACCGAAGTTGCTTACTGCGGTTCTGGAGAACGTTTTTCGTCAACTAAACTGGGAAACAAGAAGGCTGTTAATAGATGGAGACAACTTAACCCATTTAAGATTTGCAGATGATTTGATAATCTTTTCACCAACAAAAAATGAACTTCAAGCAATGCTTGGAGAACTAGACGAGGAAAGTCGGAAGGTAGGACTGATTATGAACACTCAGAAGACTAAAGCTATGACTAACAATATAAAATACCCCATAACAATTAACAGCAACACTATTGAATATGTTGATGAATACGTTTACCTAGGCCAAATAATATCGCCGTCAGACCTCACTTCAAAAGAAATAGAAAGACGAATAGGCAATGGCTGGAAAAGGTACTGGAATCTAAAAGAAGTGATGAAAAACAATGAAACAAGCATGACCCTTAAAAGAGAACTCTTCAACACATGCATCCTCCCTGTCCTTACATACGGATGTCAAACATGGGCCCTAACAAAGGCACATGCTCGAAAATTAGAAGTTTGTCAATATGCTATAGAGAGGAGCATGACGGGGAAAAGATTATCAGACAAAATAAGAACATCAACAATTAAAAAACAAACTCAAACAGAGGATGTCTCAGTTACAATAAGGAAACTTAAATGGAAGTGGACGGGGCATACTATAAGAGGACAGGAGAAATGGTGTAAAACTATAATATACTGGTATCCTAGAGACAGAAAAGAAACCTAGATAGACCATTTAGGAGATGGGTGGACGACATTAAGGCAGTTGCGGGAAGCACATGGACCAGAACAGCTGAAAATAGAAGCTTATGGAGGCAGTTGGAGGAGGCCTATGTCTATAATAGACAAACAGACAAAAACTAATAATAATATAGGTAAAAAAAAAAACTTCCATAAAAATTTAATTAATATTAATACCACTACTTACTTAAAACATAGTAAAAAAAAAGAAAAGAAATAATAATTGTATATGTAAAAAAAAATGTATTTGTCTGAATAAAGGCTTTATTATTGTTATTATTATTATTATATAAGTAACTTGTACAGATGGAGGAGGTTCAATTTAATTGGTATCATTAGCATCTTATTCACGAAATTAAAGACATAAGTGTATGTTAGAAGAGTTTTAACTCTGCTCTTGAGTTTTTGAGGTATCAATGATTACGTTCGCTCTGAAACGGAACATCAGCAGATTTGGCCCGTTTTCCCACACTTTCACAAATATTAGGCGCTTAGTAATCATCCATTATTGCATGCTTAAGCCTGAAGAAACTAGATTTACAAAATAGAATCTGCCTAACATGACTCATCAAGTATTCATGGACACATAATTAGGTACCGCTAATTAGAGATAGATATCTAGAAGGAATAATACATACGTTTTTAGCGTAGTAAAACAGAAAATCTTAACTTGGGGCCACAGTGCGTGGAGCGATTATCATACAATTAATAGCTAATTTAGGTCTTCGGGGTCTCCAGCCAGGAATGTGAATTGATAATTGGAGAAAGTTGACAGTGCGAGGTTTGACTATCATCCTAAAAAGTACTTTAGGACTAATATACATTGTATTAAATCCAGTCATTATAGGTGTTTGAGCTCGGAAAATCGACATACCCAGTATATTATACCACATAAAAACTTGTATATAGGCATCCTAAAACAGTTCTCAAAATTCACATATATGTAATTGGATGGTCGCAAGTTTTAAAGTCAGGGGTCAAAGGTCACAAAATCGATATATTTTTTTTACATTTTTTGCAAATTTCGTTTTTTCTATGGGTTTTACGCTATTTCTATTTATTATCAATATTGTAGAGAATCAAAATCTCTACAACTTTTTTATTTAACATTTTTTTATACCTTGAACTGTTTTCGAAGAAGAAGAGAATTGAAATTAGAACTTGTTCTCGAAATTTTTATTAATTTTGGCTATAATAAATCTGTAAAAAGACTCGTTTAATAAAAACATAAATAAAAAATGTATTTCTTTTCTTCTTTATTTATATGTATAGAAAGTAATTAGATCAGAATTAAAATACAATTTAAATAATATAAATTTAATAATAAATCAACAATTTCTTAATTACATGGCGAGGTAAGTGTTAATAAATAAATTGACACTTAATTAAAAATAGAAAATTAACCAAAAAAAAAATTATTTAAATGTTAATAAAAAACGACAATTATATGTTTAACAATAAATGATAACCTTAATATTAGAGTTTTTCATCGAGATTACCAGTTGACCTGAGATAATTCTCTGACCGCGCGGTCTACGCCCTCTATCTCGAAAACAATTCAAGGTATAAAAAAATCAGTTAAAAGATATTGTAGAGAATTTAATTCTCTACAATATTGATAATAAATACAAATAGCGTAAAACCCATAGAAAACAAGATATTGGCAAAAAAATGTTTAAAAAAAAAACGATTTTGTGTCCTTTGACCCCTGACTTTAAAACTTGCGACCATCCAATTATATGTGAATTTTGAGAACTGTTTTAGGATGCTAAAATACAATATTTTATGTGGTAATAATATACTAGGTCTGTCGATTTTCCGAGATATGCACCTAATTTGGCCTAAAATGACTGGACTAGTATACCAAGTCCAGCTATAAGTTCTGTTTCAAATGAAAATACATTTTTTTAAATGAAGTAATGTAGTAATAATTTGGGGAAAAACTTTCTTCGTATTTTTAAGAAAATTCACTACATTTTTTAAAATAGTTTATTTACATTTAACTAAAGCATGTAGGTACCATTTTGTTCGATAACTTTTTGCCATCTTGTAGGTTGGGACATGATCCCATTGCTATAGAAATTTTGGGTTTTCTAATAAAAATACCGCGATAATTGGTTTTGGCAGTCCTCTCGTGATGTTAACCTGACACTGCCTAAAGAATTCTGAAGAGACCGAAACAGGTGGAAATCTGAAGGTTCAAGGTCAGGACTATACGATGGATGCATTAGCACCTCCCAGCCAAGCTCTCTTAATTTTTGCTGAACGGCTAAAGATGTGTGAGATCTAGCGTTATCATGATGAAAAACCACACCCCTTCTGTTGATTAATGCCGGCCGCTTTCTCTCAACTTCTTGCTTTAATCTCATCAGTTGTTCGCAGTAGAGTGCAGAATCGATGGTCCTGCCTGGTGGTAACAGCTCATAATGAATAATGCCCTTCCAATCCCACCACACACACAGCATCACCTTGTTGCGAGTTAATGCGGGTTTCGCCACAATCTGTGGAGCCTAGCCGGCCTTTGACCACGACCTTTTTCGCACGTTCTTGTCGTACGTGATCCACTTTTTATCACCATTTATCAGATTCTTCAAAAATGGTTCGGTTTCATTAGGTCGTAATAAAGAATCACAAATGAGTACACGGTTCATAGGTTTCTTTCAGTGAGCTCGTGAGGTACCCAAATATCGAGCTTTTTATGTTCCCAGTTTTTTCAAATGCGTCAAAACTGTTTTGTGGTCAATTCCCAGTTCTTCAGCTAGGTCGTAAGTACTGATATGCCCATCTTCCTCCACTTTTTCAAAAATGGCATCCATTTTATCCGTAATAGGGCGACCAGAGCGACGTGCATCTTTGACATCAAAATTTCCGGATTGAAAATGCTTAAACCAAATTTGTGCTACTCTCACAGACACTGCACTAGATCCATAAAAATCTCAATTTTTTTTCGCGACTTGCGTTGCATTTTTACCTTTTTTTTTAGTAAACTTTTAAAATGTATCGAATTTCTTCATTAGATTCACTCATCTTGACAGTACGAAAAATAAATAAAAATCACACATTTTCCTAATTTGAATTCGGAATTATCTTCTTTAAAGTTTAAACTTTTAATGATACCAAAACCAGTCAGATAAAAATAGTATAGCCAAAGAGATTTTATTGCAAGTTCATACATACTATAATGCGAAAAGAATTTTTCCCCAACCTATTATTATTAAAATTTATACCTACATATTTATTAAAGTCTCAGCAAAAATAAAAATAATCTTCTAAATGGCCACCTTTGGCTTTTATACAGGCCTTTAATCGTTTAGCCACGAATCTATGGATGTACGCACTATTTCTAAGGAAAATTTCGCCACTGCTTACTGCAAAGATTTTTTAAGAGTCTTAATGTCGCCGTGTCGCTTAGAGCAGGCCATGTCCTCTAAAACTGACCATAATTTGAAGTCTAAAAGGTTTAGGTTTGGGTTAGATGAAGGCCAGTTTTCAGCTCTTATAAAGTTCGGAACGTTGGCTCACAAGCCAGGCTTGGGTAGTTCGTGTCTTGTGGTCAGGTGCAGAGTCTTGCTGGAAAGCTTACGTAATATCTTTAAAAAGTGTATTGCTGAGAGGTTTCACAACACGAACCAACACTGTATCTTGATACGCTTTGGCTGAAGTTTTCACTCCTTTTTCACAGAAATGTAGTTTTGTAACTGCTTGATAAGGCACGCCCCATCAAACCATCACTGACGCAAGATTATGACCATGTTGTACCTTTCCGACCACTTGAGCAGCTTCTTTAGAACTGTGAGCGTACACTTAATCATTTTGCTTATTGTAATGTTCTTCAATCGTGAAATTGTTTTCATTGGTTAAGAGGATATTTCTTTGCCATTAACCTGCGTATCGCGACAAAAGGCGTTTTGATCGATCTACTCTCTTTAATTTTAAAGATCGATTTAGGGCATGTCCTGTACATCGATGATAAGCTCCGAGATTCAGGTCTTGTTTTATAATAAACGACAGAGTCCTAACGGGAATATTTATTTCTCGCAATAAGATTTTTTCCTTTCTGATGGCGTTTCGACGAATTCTGGCTTTAAGAGCATTAACAGTCTTTGTAGTTCTAAAAACACGTGACCGCCTCAATATTTTCTGGTTTTTGACAGACGAAGTGTTTTTGTATCTGTTGATAGTACGGTAAACGAACATATGGCTGATACCAAGCTTTTGAAGTGTCTGGAATATGACCGACGGCGCCTTACCTATTTTATGTACTATCATATCATGTTCTAGTAAGCTGACCATTCCTTTAACGCAATCAGGACCTCAACTGAATGTATCTAGATGATCGATGAAATTTACGTTGAAGTCTCTATGGGTTTCAGGAAATCGGGTATAGTACTTTATAGACAATGACAAAAGGGAAGTTCGGCCTCCGTGTTTAAGACATCACACACTACGATATATCAAAG